GGAGACCAATGGAAAGTGAACGGGAGCGTGGTGTTTCGAACTTTTGGTAGGAACGTAGGCGCTCAAAGTAAAATGAACCATGTGATTATTCTAGAAAATTGTATGATTGTTAGTTGTTATTTTTATTGCATTTTAAAACAAACCCTATTTTGCACTTTTTCATAATTACAGATTTAGAATTAAAAAAGTTATATAAAATAACATAATTATTTGAAATGGCTGCCCTGTCAAGTTCAATAAATGTCAGATCCGACACTATTCTATGCTATTCTATGACTATAACGAATTTTAAGCCACGCTCATTGTGATGACGTCAAGACCTAGTTAGAATCACTGTGCACAGTTGCTTAGGCCCTCTCCTCTTTGTATTTGTGCATTTGTGACAGCACAGTTTACTTGATTCCTCGTTTAATACTTTTGGCGCTGTAGTCGCATAAGATGTAAGTACTACTCACATAATGACATTTTATGCATGGCACTCAGACATAATATAGACTTTCTTATTCTTTCATTCACAAATTTTTTTGGCTCTACCACAGCTCTACATAAAATCCTTTGACAGTTTGTCTCTCAAATACATGACATTGGCGAAATTGTGGTTACACTCTACCACAAATTCATTAACCAAAAGTTGAAGTTGATAATATAGACAAAATTAAGTTTAAATAAAACATGTGCGATTTATTAATTATATAAAATTAGATAAAAAATAGGTATTTTTACTTCACGATGAGAAGCGTTACAGCCTGGCCACGGGACATGTGGCGACTAAAATAAAGGACATCATTCACGCTCCATACAAAAAGTACCCAAAAAAAGAATCGGTTAGAGAATGACATTCTAAGATTTTTTTCTTTAGACGGCTAAGAGCTAAGACCGATTACTTATGAGTTATATGACTTAGAAATAATAAAAAAATGTATTTATACGAGTTGGTCTGAACAATTTTTACTTCATTACTATAGCAAAAATCAAATAATGATGATAAAGAATAACTTAATCTCGCTTAATAATAATATAATATGACAAAAAGCCTAATCATATACAATCATCATTAGGTACCTAAGTACCTACGTAGGTATTTATGTGTAGGTATTAGTGTTATAAAATATATGTAAAGAAAAAGACTTCATTTCGTTACGTACGCGGCTTTATTCATATGTTATAATTCCGCAGGTCTCATTTCGATGGTCTTGCATTGTTTAGATTTTTAATTATTCAGAAATAGTTAATTAATACATAAATGTAAATGCTCATTTTATGATTTTAGGAGATCCATTTTGGGTCTAAAAGTTGGTCGTAGACGTTTGTTGTAATAATAAAAAATGTTTAAAAGATCATTTGCCGTAAGATGACACAGTTTTTTTTTACAGGCCGGCCTTTTAATTTTTGGGTACATTTTGAATGATGTCCTTTACGGAAAAGTACTGGGCATGCTACGCGTAGCGGCAATCGGTGGGACGACCGGCAAAACTTGCAGGTTGAATCGCATAGTCATAGAAACAAATGTATGAAACAGTACGGCGCACGCCACGGTGTCGAGCGGCAGACGCGTCGATTAGTATAAGCACCAAAATTATTTAATTGTACTCGAAGAGAAATAATGAACACCGGAACTTTTATTACAGAGATATTAGCCAGACTAGCTTGTCATTCACAACATAAATATAAACATGAACAGATTTTGGGAAGAAATAAAAATATAATTTCAATTTTTATTTTAAATTGTGAACTCCACATTTGTTTCAACCATTTTCTTGATTAAAAAAACTATTACTCTCCCAGCAATGTCGAGACAACGTTTAGAAATACAACTTTCGCATCAGGAATATATCATGTGTCGCGGGGGACTTAATAAACATACATGAAACGGACACAAAGAACACTCAGACTCAGAACAACAATTTATGGATCACACAAAGTGTCGTCCCACGTGGGGTTTGAACCTACAACACTCGGCGCAGTAGGAAGCGGCGTGGCGACCGCTTAAATCACTGCGCCATCCGTGCAATCATCGTCAACGTTGATAAAGACATCTCGCTCTCGGTCTATACCGGTCGCGACAACAAACGCAATTGCCGGGGTGTGCAAACCGTGCAGCGTGGATTGCCGATTCACCCACCACTTCAAGATATGCAGGCATATTATATATATAATAAATAAAAATTGAGGCCAGAGAGCAAACTTAATGAAAAATTAAATTACTACTAACCTTGCTTCCCAAAACGTGAAGTGAATACCGGATAGTTTGATGAAGGAAGTGAATACTGATGTTCTTGGGACATGTCAACTGTAGTAAATTTTTCACTATGTAGTTAACATAAATAACAAAATAATTTTGCTTTTGAAATTTCATACTCAATAAACACAAACAATAATAAAATATGTATACCCATGTTCGCAAAATAAATTATTTGATTTGATTTGATTGTTTTAAGTGTAAGTATATATGTATATTTATACCTTTAATGGTTAATAGTCCTCCGACTGAATCATCATCATCTTGTTGCTGACAGTAACTATGGTCATCCAAGACATTGCACCCTGAAAATGGTAAACTTTCATAATATTTAGTTTGCCTTCTTATTATTTGTTTAATTCTTTTTGCACAAACAATTCATTTTACAATGGCGGACTTAATGTCACAGGCATTTTCTTGCAGCCTACCTTTGGGTGGTGGGGAAATGTCTGAGTAGGTGCACTAGAAATTAAGTTTTATATGTATACATACATACATACTGAGATACACATGCATGTATACTTTCTGAGTTAAAAACATACACATATATACATATAATACATTATATAAAACTTTAGGAATGTAATGAACAGAATTATTGGCTACTTATTTAATATTTTTCAAATGTAATTTTTTTTTAACATATCCTTATGAATTAAATGCATTTAAATTCAGTATGGATGGAAATACTTTTAATTTATTAGGTATCGTTTTCATGTTATATTATGTAGATTAATTTGTAGGCTCTACTCAACTGCATCAGTGGTGCAGTGATAGTATATGCAACTGCTGATCACAAGGTCTCGGGTTCAATTTTCAGAAACACTGAGGAGTCTGTAAATAGTCATTAGGTGTTGAGATGGTTAATACTGACCATGTTGTTTTCCTTCTCTTTGCAGTGCGGGTTGTGTACAATATTTATATGTTGTAGTAATGAGTGCTCACCCTTTGCAAGTGGTACGCCATGGGCGATTTCTTTTTCTGTCAGCAAACAAGGATATGAATATCGTATTCTAACACCAGCTGGATCGAATTGAGTTTGATCAAAATGTCTTTCACAAACACGTTTCGTCATAAGCTGGTTCTTAGTAAGTCCTAGTAGGCTGGGATTTGTCGGCACTAACAATGAGATCCAGAAATTACGTAAGTCATCTTTCATGGGCATGCAAAATAATCTGTGGGTGTTACTTGTTGAATCACAACCCCCAACACAACACTTGTATAGCACCATGATGAGAGACCGCTTGGGTGAAACAAATATCACAAAATGTAATACAAAGTATAATCTTCTAAACAGAGTAGGTTTCACAAGTATCTCAACTCATCGGGAGGATCGGAGGAGAACGCAAGTTATAACAGCAATCAGTTTAATAAAACTTCTGAAAACAACGTCGCCGCTGAAAACACACGTTGACAGTATTGACAATGATTGACAATCGCTACATAAACATGCGACAGCAGCGCCAAAATCACTCTATTGGTACTAAAGCTGACAGCACCCTGAAGGCCAATTCTCATATTTTAAAACATCAGATGATCAGAGACCGAAACGTGATTGTATTGAAACTGAATTATGAATTGACTAAAAGTAAGTATTCTGCAAAATAAAAATACAATCCAGTCTCAATAGTCATTAAGTAACGTAAAAAATATTTTTTGAAGTTGGAATTCTCCTCATCTACTAATTAGAGCTGCTCCTTGATTTCATGGAAAAGCATATTATGTACATTGGTGCTAATAAGAGTGAATGTCCACATACTCTTCTGCCGTTTTGCAGGCAAAATCTTAAAATGTAATTACGTCAATATTCTTGCTCTAGATGTTATCTCTTGAAAAATCACAGCAAATATTTTAATAAGCCAACCAACCCGGTAATAGCTGCAGTTTTATTGGGAAACTCGAAAAGCTTTCTGGCGGTATTCCCGTCATTAGTAGTTCCCAAACCTCGTATGACTATATTAATCCATGAATAGATTAAGCTTATAACATATTTTGTTAAACCTTGTTTAATTGTATTTATAGTACTTAAATAATATACTCGCTAATAATCTTCTCTTAAAAATAATCCTGTTTTATTTATATTATCAATAAAAAAGAATAAACAGCCATTTTTTCTTCCTTGTTTTATATACTCTTAATATTTACGTCAAAAACATTCTTCATATCAATGTTCTTAACTACAGTAAAAGGAACCGCTTCAGATGTCTATGAAAGCCGATTTTCAGCCCACCGTGCGGCGCTGCATTTACCTATCTATCCGTGACTGAACGATAACCGGATACCTATATGTAAGCTTAGGTACTCTAATAGAGTTGTAAGCATAGAGAGAACGTGGGGTAAGTAAGAGCTGTAAGTAAAAGCGATACAGGCAACGAGGCAGATGGATGCCCGATAGTTCCCTCTGCCTCTGTTTAGCTAAGCTGCGATTGGCTATCGTGAAGTGGGTGTGAATTAGAAATTTCCCTAGCCAGAGCGCGACTAAAAAAAGATAGAGGGAACTACATATTATCCATCTAACTCGTTGCCTAAATTGCAAAATTAAGGCTCTTGTTCACTCGATAGTTATATCTCCATGGTTCTTCACTTCCAATGTTTACTTTACTCTGTGGATTGTTATTGTTGTTATTGGGCGCTGCCATCTGTTTTGCTGTCAGTGTCAGTCTGTGTTGTGATTACATTTCGGTAAATACGTTTAGTAGAAATTTAGAATTTTCTATCTTCATTCTATTTAGTTAATATAGGTCTAATATATCATAAGGATATGCCGAAACTACGAAAATGTTGTGTTGTAAGTTGCAATGCAAACAACGAGACTCATCGTCTTTTCAAATTCCCTAAAGACGATAAATTACGAGAATTATGGTTGTTTTACTTGGTGCCTGTTAATGTTCAGCTCAGTGGTTTGACAAAGGGACAGTTGTTGAACAAATATGTGTGTCACCTGCACTTTGACAGACACCAGTTTGATGGTGCAGGTAACCGACTCGCTCTTGGTTATCCTTGCTTATTTACTTCAAAAGAAATACTTCACGGTATTCCGTTGAGCTCCATCAGTAAGTTTTTTTTTCTACTTTGATTTACTATTAGGTCTAGTTGCGGTACGACTTTACTTTTGACGTTTATCGAGTTGGAGTTTGTCAATTTTTTACACAAAGGTTACATTGTTATAAGCACACACGTAAAAGTTTCCACACGCAGAGACGCGTAGTTTTTGATTTTTTTTTTATTGAAAATCAATTATATTCGCAATATTTATGTCAATCACTACCACAGATTATATAGAATTTTCGCCATGGAACGTTTCGTTTTAACTTAGGTTAAGTTGTCATATGTTCAGTGACATTTTATTTTATATAAATTTACTTAAATAATTATATTTTGTACTCATTTCAATAGTTTTCGTGCACACATATATTTCACAGTTTATATATATTTACTTTTATGTGTGTGCTTATAATAGTGTAACCATTCTGTAAAAAAAATATCAACCTCCAACTTGAAGGATGTCAATGTAAAGCTAAGCCCTAGTGGCCTTTAAAAATAAAAAAAATTAAGTGTGTAATGTTGAATAGAAATTGGTCTTTTTTATGCTCACACGGTTATTTACACGATATCTATACCTAAAAACCAGTTTAAATATTTTATGTCTGTCTGTTTGTTCCAAAACAGCTGGATTGATTTTGATAATATTTTACTACCTGCCAGTTGTCTAAATAAGGAGTAACTAGCGCTGTTTTTCCTCTTAGAAAAACCCTACAAAGTTTTGTGCGGTGACGTGACTGCAGTCAGATGACTTTTCAATTTCCATGTGAATGAAGTTGTGGGCTAGTCTATACAAATAAATAAAATAAGAGTGTCTGTTCGTAATATTAAAATAACCGCTTTTTACCAAATGCAAATGTATGTTTACACGGTACATATGCCAAAATAACTTTTTTTACAATTTTAGTCTGTCTGTTTGTTCGACGGGACTTTCACTGGCAGATAGCTGCTGACATAAGGAGTAACTTAGGCTACTTTTTTTAGACTAGGTTCGCCCCGCGGCGTTGCCCGCGGTTATGACAACAAACGCGGGTAACACCGCGGGTCTCGGCTAGTATTTTATAAAAATGAATACACACTGTATTTATTTTCCAGATGAACGCAATTGGAACGATCACAATTATTGCAAACTGCCCACTGTGTTACAAGACTCAACTGAAACCACTACCATTAATGGTATGTTTGTTTATGTCTCTTTGAGTTATATAAGTTTAAAAGATTTTTTCCTTACCTTTAGTTATTGACTAGATCTTGCACGCGACTTCGTCCACATTGTGGCTGATATCCGACATCATAGAATACAATCAATCAAAATCTATACAAATATATAAAATTGTAGTGTCTATTTGTAATATCTAAATAATAGGTGTTTTTCTTGCTCACATGGTTATTTTCACTATACCAATGCCTAAAACCAGTATTTTCTTTTTTGTCTGTCTGTTCTGGGTAATCTTCTTAACAGCTGGACCGATTTAGATAATATTTTATAACCAGGTAGCTGTGTATATAGGGAGTAACTTAGGCTATTTTGCCTCTCAGAAAAACTTTGCCTGGTCTGGGAATCGAACCCACTAAGGCAGCGCTTTTCATATGCCACGCAAACGAAGTTGCGGGTACCAGCTAGTCATATAGTTATACTAGCTGAGACCCGCGGTGTTACCCGCGTTTGTTGTTATAACCGCGGGCAACGCCGCGGGGCGATGCTAGTGTAAAAAAAGTAGCATAAGTTACTCCTTATGTCATCAGCTATCTGTCAGTGAAAGTCCCGTCGAAATTGATCCAGCCGTTCCAGAGATTACCCGGAACAAACAGACAGTCAGACAGACAAAAGTTGAAAAAAATGTTATTTTGTTATATGTACCGTGTAAACATACATATGCATTTAGTAAAAAGCGGTTATTTTAATATTACAAACAGACACTCCAATTTTATTTATTTGTATAGAAGAAGATATAAAAGCAAAAACTGACTGAATATTTCTTTACAAACTAAATTAGTAACTGTTATATACTCAATGTGTAATGTTACAAGCATTTTTATATGCAAGGGTCATTCAATTTTAATTGTATCATCATCATCAACAGCCTTTACTAGTCCACAGCTGGACATAGGCATCCTTAGAAAGGAGGCTGTGGCGTACGATGTCACGCTGGCCACTGGCCAGCGTGGCTCTATCGTTATCGGCTCTATGGCGTTACTCTATCTATCAGTACTCTATACTATATATGGTATACTATACCAACCCGTCTGGCCACTGGCGAGACGGGTTGTTATAGAGTTTGTGTCAAGTTTTTTCTTGATAATACGCTGTTGATGATCATTCTTGGTAGTAACTGATTCGGTTTATCTTATAATACTGCACGGATGGCGTAGTGGTTGACGCCGCTTACTACTACGCTGAGTGTTGTGGGTCCTATCCCCACATGGGACGACACTTTGTGTGACACAAAGGACAGACAGACAGAGAAGAACAGCAATTTGAAACTTGGTTAAAGCAGTTAAAAGAGTTTAGTTGTGGTTAAAAAAACAATAATGTAAGATTTCAACTTCAACTTTTGGTTAATGGATTTGTGGTAGAATGTAACCACAATTTCGCCAATGTCATGTATTTGAAAGACAAACTGTCAAAGGATTTTATGTAGAGCTGTGGTAGAGCAAAAAAAAATTTGAGAATGAAAGAATAAGAATTATTAAATTGTTAACTTTAACTTTTGCAGGCATGATAAAACTTAAACTAGTAAAATATAAATACAGCTAATAATATATATACAGAGAGTTTCATTTCCTTTCACAAATACGTATGCCACATATTCTACCCTTAATTTCTAGGCGATTTGCAAAATATGAACAAAATATATCCAGTAGTTTAGCCACAGGACTCATTTTTGTGTTTCGTAAATTGCAACATCATGTGTACATGCAGTCATAATACATTGACCTCAGGCGGCGATCAGCTGTAGGCGCGGCGCGGTAATCACACGTTGCCGCTTTTACTACACCCGAATCGAACGAAATATGTTGATTATTACGTCATCACGATGCAACACGCGTTTTTAATTAGTTCATCCAGTAAGGACAGTCAGTCGGCCCTTGGCCACCGGCGAGCTTATGCTATTCCGTATCCTTGTAGATGCGCTTACGACAAATAACCGTAATAATAATATTGTTGTTGTTTATGAGATGCATATTTGTTTAGAGAAGTTTTCTTGTGGTAATAATTGTTTAGTCTTATTGCTTTCGTCATAATACACGGCAATGGTGTGAACAATTAATGTTATCGTGTGCGCAAGACTTCGTAATGTAAGGAGTCCTGCTAATTTTATTTTGAAAAGTCACTATTAGGTTCTGTGTGTAGTGTAGTGTGAAACTGAGTGCATTATCAGTCTTTTAATTTTATTGGGTTATCGATATCAACATCCATAATGCCGTGAGTGACCTTCACAGCCGCGGAATATCCTGCTATGATGTTAATTTATGGAAAACTCTATCAAAACGCATCTTTTGCTTTACGGACACGTATGGAGTCAATCGTGTATGTCCTACAGACTGCCGAATTTTTATAAGGGCGGTACAAAGATTACGAGACAACCAAGGTAACTACTTTTTCAAGGAGTGACGCGTACTGCTGGGTCGGAAGCTAGTCGAGCATTCACGAAATAAACACGTGAATAAAATCGCATTCTTTATAAATAGATTTTTAAAAGCAAGTGAAGTGATTGGTAGGTAGGTAATAAGAATGTAAAGAAAGGCGGCGGCGGCGGCGGCGGCGGGCGCCGGCGGCGGCGTCGTTTTGATGTCGCCGACATTGCGACGCTGCCGTGTAGGTACAGTTCACCGACTCATGTTATCAATGGTGTTCTAATTCGGAAATTATTTTATTGTATTTAGTTTGTTCTAAATTTGCATTTCTGTATTTTCGTACTAATTTTTTATTTTTTTATTTTAACCGACGTATATTGAACCGTGTTATCTGTTATTTCATTTTTTGTGATATCTATACCGCCACAGTGTATACATATACAAAATAAGAAATAAGCAAAACAAAACAAACAAATGTTACACTGTGATATTGAAACTATAATTTAATTTTGTTTAAAGTTATACACTTACCTAGAATGTATACAAAAGGAGTAAAGACGCGAGATAGGAGTAATTTAAGGGACGTGGGATTTATTTATTTATTTATTTATTTCATTTTAAGAAGGCTTACAGACTAATAACAAAATATGCTTAAGTAAAAATATCAATAAAAAGGTTGCTTATAACAAGCCTCCACATATGTATAAGAAAGTGAATAGAAACAAAAAACATAAAAACAATATTCAACCTTAAAAGAAGATAATATAAGAACAAAAATTTATAAGGGGAAATATGTTAGATTGATTATATCAATATAATTTGCAGTAGGTATATCACAGTACCCACTGTTATGTATTCTCTCCACAGACAATGAAGAGAACACATCAAATGCAGTATTGCCACAATAACCATTATTGAGTATATGTTTACATCAACAACAACAACACCATATGACGATAAACTGCCAAGCAAGTCAACCATTATTCAAAAAATCTATTTGGGATGAGGAATATGAGGAGGAATGAATTCAGAAATAGGAAACTTGGTTCTAGGACAATTAAAAAAGATATGGTTCCCGTTTCCCTCATCAAGCCCACACTCACAAATAGAGCTATCCCTAATTCTGAGTTTTGCCAAAAATACTGGAGTGCATGAGTGATTTAGTCTTAACCGACAAATTATAGAAGTGGTGTTTTTATTTATTTTTTAAAATTTAGCAAACCACGGCTTAAGTGGAATTTCTGGTTATATATCGGAGTAAAATTGGCCTCTCACAGTTTTCGACACGCGCCACAGCCTGGACCACGAATCAAACAGCTGTGATTTAAGGGATGAACAAATATCGTAAGAGTATTTTTCTGTGTGTTCATGAGAGCCTGTATAAACAGCATTTTTTTTTTGCAAAAGAATCTACAGTCGCATTTCCTGGAATTCCTGCGTGTCCAAGAATCCAGGCTAAGACAATGTTTATGTTCAGTTTTGACATTGAAATAAAAGATGTCTAATTTTAAAGACAATAGGAATGTGATCGGAATGGGTTTGATAGAATAGATTGAAGGCAGCTTTTGGAATCCGAAAAAAATATACTATTGTTTAAATTATGGGATTTTATAAAGAAAATAGCTTCTAAGACTGCTATAGACTTACCAGTGAAGACAGAAGAAGTAGCGGGACAGTTATAATTTAGAATTATGCTAGTAGAAGGAATCCAGACAGCAGCACCAACTGGGCCATTTGATGAGATTTTGGAAGCGTCTTTTTTTTATTGCTACTAATCCCACCCACACGCCCACCACTGTAACTCCTGTATACCAGGATCCACAGCAGTGACCCACGAACACACCGAGTTATGACACTCGGGAAGTCCCAGGAAGAAATTAAACTGTCTTGGAACCCGCAACGAAATTAATCAGAAGAAAATTGGAGAGAAATTATTTGCATCTTCAGCTGACAGAAATTCAAATAAGATTTTGTTTCTACCTAGTTTTTATACCATATACAAAATTTACCAAATTTTAATGAGCGATAGAGGTGCCGTAAGAAAGATCTGGTTCTATCCGCGATACGTGGACTATAAACGGGGCTTTATCTGAAGGTTCGTACATTTTAACGCCTATCACAATACTCGGTTAAATATATACATTTTCTTTTGACCATGTTGTTTTCTGTAAAATTTCTTTTTGGATCCCCATGACAGATAGCATCCTCAGAGGCAAGGCGACGCTTACCATGTTACCATGAGGAACAGCTCGACCTAAACCTCCAGGGTCCGGAGGATCTGGAGGAAGAGGGGGAGACGGCTCTTCAATGAGGGACATACCTATCTTAGTTATTTAAAGGATAAATCCTTTATAAATATTTAAACAAATAAACAAAGAAAATAATCTATTTAAACTAAATGAAACAAATTACTTACTGAAAATTCTATACATAAATAACATGCCTGGTGATTAAAATAAAACAATTATAAATATAGGAACAGAAAGATAAGGTTAGGATCCGAGTGACAGCTCCTCTAATCACGTTAAAACAATCAATGTAAGATTTAAAGAATACGTATAGTCTGTTTTTTAATCTCGTAGACTAAATTGACACATGCAAATGTCAAATTAACAAATAATGTTGCCAGCTCTTTTGTGCAGTGTTGTACCTACGATACCGGTTAGTTGAATCGTAACTTTTTATTTATAAAAGACGAATTTAATTTTCATTCAAAGTTTTACATTTAAAATTCACGTACGTACACACGGCTGCACGACGTGCTACAAACTGCCAGGGAAATCTGACCACGCAACGCCATGCGTAACCCGACCATGTTTCGATGCCTTAAGATTAAACAAAAAAAAAAATTATAGACGCCATCAGTGTTGTTCCCGTACGCGTTAAAACGGCAATCTTAACCCTTTTCTCTTACGAAACGGCAGAACTTAAAAAATGCGGCAATTATGGAACTTGACACCATACGAACAATTGTACGAATACGTAATTCGAACGATTGAGTTGGTCTGGGCTCAAGTAAAGGGGCATGTCACTAAAAATAATAAAACATTCAAAATGAATGAAGTACGAAGCCTTTTTGAAGAAGGGCTTCGTCAAGTGACCCCGCAGCGGTGGAAAGACTGTGTAGTCCATGTAATTAAAATTGAAGATCAAATGTGTCATCTGGGCCATATAACCGACGACATTACTGATAGGTTTATCATAGAAGTAGGTGGCGATTCTGATGACTCATAATATTCCTCAGACATGGAGTCATTATCTGAATCAGATTAACGCGAATACCTGTAATTAAGTTATTTAATTAAAAATATATGTTTTACATTATTAATTTTGTATTATTATGTTTTAAATAAGTACCTACACATTATTTCAGGATAAACACATTATTTCAGGATAACTTATTGTAAAAAAAACGATACTTGATTTTATTAACGCTAAGTTTCGGTTGTGCCACATCACTATTTAAGAATTGCAATAAACTGACAACACTCGTAATGTCAGTTTAGTCTACGAGATTAAAAAACAGACTATAATGTATGGAAGGAAAACTTGTTGTGACAACACGTCAAACGTAACCATAGTAACGACAGCCATAGACAAGTTGTACGAAGACATGTAGTCTCTTCACAAAAACCGTACTATTGATGATCGTTATCAAATTATGATTTAATATATATTATGCAATTAATATACTTATTTTATGTAAAATATTAGTATAGATTAGGTACTTGCACCGATATTGATTGGCGTAATTTTTTTTCATTAGCTTTACCCTGATATACGATAATACACGGTAAGGTTGCACAAAGTGGCAACATTAAAGGTGCGTTCATTTATGGAGGCCAAAGAATATATCTACTTTCTTACGACTTACTTTGCAGTCCTGCTACAGTTGATGGTGCTGCATTCTGAAAAAAATGGTTACTATAATTAGAAATACAAAATGTGTAAATAGGAAATATCACAATTAAATAAATGATGTCATACCTGGTTAAATACATTGGTTTTATCATTTAGTAAGTCAGTTAATTCAGGCACAGCAAATTTACTCAATTTTTTCCGTGTACTGTCATAAAATTGAGACGAATGAAAGTGTCTTCCACATAAAACTTTATTGATTTTGTGGAGCGAGTATAATGATTCTCTAGAACTCCAGTCATCATTCGGCCAACAATATTTGGCCCAAGCATGAGCCCTGGAAAAAGAGATTTTTATCATCAGACTACAGATTTCTAAACTTACAAATAATATAGTAAATGAATACTAACATAATTTATCGGCCACCATCGCAAAATATTGATACATTTTTAGAATCCCTTAACACAAATTTACAGAACCTATCATCGTACTAAAATATTATACTAACTGGCGATTTAAATATTAACATTGCTTGGGGGAGAACAGACATTAATGCACATAATTATCTTAATATTTGCCCATTTCACGGACTCCTACCCGTTCATATTTACCCGACACATCAAAGCGGATCATGCTTAGATCATTTTATGATAAAGTCAAATAAACCGTCGTTAACATTAGTCACTGACTCAACACTTACAGATCATCATGCCATTCTACTAACCTTGCAACAATCTTTACTTAGAAAAACTTGCACACGTAGCTATACTAAAATAAGCTATACTAAAATATTTTCGCTCCTAAAAGCCTGTGAACGCCCCAGGAGGCTTCTGCGCTTCTGGAAGGAGCTGGGTTGGCTCACCTAGCTAACCAGACCTGGACGCATAAAGGACCACCCTTGAGTCTAAATTCGGAAACCGAAGCCCACAACCAATACCAATATACTAAAATAAATATGGAAAGCCTTGGCAGCAATATAAGTAAAATTAATTTTGACCAAATCTACAATACTGACGATGCAAATGTATGTTTAGGTTATTTTATTAGTTCACTACAAAATGCAATTTTGAAAAATACTGTTACTACGAAAATATCAAGGAAATATAAAGCCATTAAGCCATGGATTACGCCTGGTCTCGTCCACTGCATAAGACATAGAGATAAACTGCATCAGAAATGTAAAATCTAACCAGACAATATGGTACTTTCTGTATCTGAAACTTATTAAAAATATTAGCTCTCACTCAAAAAAGCATGAGTCACCACTTGAATTATTATCAACAGAAAGTCCCATCGTTGCAATAAATAAAGTCAACAATACTTTTGCTGATGTTGGCGGAAATTTAACAAAAAAAATTGTAAACTCCAATAGCTCTATCTCTAATCATATCCCTACAACATTGAATTCTTTTGTTATGCTAGACACCGATGTGGATGAAGTATTAGGTATTATAACAGATTTGAAGGATGTTTGCTCAGTAGGATGGGACACTATTTCTAATACTGTAATTAAGAGCTTTAAAGATCTATTACCTCCCCCGTTGACACACATTTTTCAACTGTGTTTACAAACAGGCGTTTTTTCTAAATTGCTTAAAAAAGCAGTAGTCATACCTATATATAAATCTGGAGATATACATATAATTACTAATTATAGACCCATCTCAACATTAACAGGTTTGTCCATAATCCTAGAAAAAATTATAAATAGGAGACTAATAAAATACCTTGAAGATAACCATTTGCTATCACAAAATCAATACGGTTTTAGACCCAAATGATCTACTAACCAAGCAGTTCATCCGTTGACAAATTATATAACTAATAATTTAGACAAGGGTATGTGCTCTATCGGGATCTTTTAGATGTTGCCAAAGCTTTCTATACTATCTCCTGTTCTATCCTATTGGAAAAGCTAGAAAAACTTGGAATAAGGGGAACACAACTTCAGCTATTTACTGATTATCTTAGTGACCGCTATCAATCTGTCAAAATCGGACAATGTGTGAGTTCTGAGGTAAAAAATAGCTGCTATGGCTTTCCTCAAGGCAGCATACTAGGACCAACGTTATTCCTCATTTATATTAATGATCTAAGTAGACTAAAACTACAAACTGGTGTCATACTGTCATACGCGGACGATACAGTTCTATTATTTTCAGCTAAGTCACGAGTTGAAGTATATGAAGATGCACAGAATGGCTTTAATGAGGTATCACACTGGCTTCGTAAAAATCTACTGACCTTAAATGCGGAGAAAACAAAATATATTTTATTTAAAATGCGGAACACAAATATTGTAACACCCAACCTAAATATTTATGCACATAGCTGTCCATCAGCTGACATTGCATGCACTTGCCCTACTTTAAACAAAACTGATGATGTGAAATATCAAGGTATCACGATTGACACAATTGACACAAATTTAAATATTCCCAAACACAGACTTTTTATGTATGAGAGTAAGAACTTACGCAGTATTGCAGATTATTATGTAATAAAACAGACCTATTTGGCTTTGTGTCAGTCGATACTAACATATTGCATAACTTCGTGGGGTGGCGCTGCTAAGACCATTTTACTCCCACTTGAACGTGCTCAAAGAGCAATACTAAACGTAACCACCTGTCGCCCATTTAGGTTCCCTACTCATCAACTCTATCTGGAATGCAAAGTATTAACAGTTCGACAGTTATTTATATTGCACATCATACTAAAACAACATGCGGAACTACCATTTAATCCTATGTTCTTAGAAAACAGAAGGAACGACATTGTATGTGTCAAACCTCAAACAACGCATATGTACATTAACTAATTTTACCCCTTCTTAGCACCATATCTTTTTAATAAGATAACCAAAGTATTAAAAATATATGCCATACAAAGTGTAAAACTACTAGAGTTTTACACTTTGTATGGCATATATTTTGAAGAATACTTAGGTAGGCTTAATTACGCAGACACAAATGATATAGTTTTAATTATAATTAGGTTATTAAACAATAAGTAATATATATTTGTGTACATATACAAACCAGTCTCAAGTATTTTACATTATTAATCTATTAGAACTTCAATAGATTAACATCCTGTAACTAACATAATAGTCAAGCGACTGCCTGAAACATTCTGATTCGGCAAATAAATTATTATTATATTATAATAAAATGTAACAAACTAGTCATAAAGTACCTAGTTTATTAAAATGGTGTTTACAGTGTAAGCCAAGATACGCTTCGCTGCGAGAAATGGGACACTAAAATGATAAATATACTTACTTCGTGTTATTATCCTTTCCTGGATTCGGAAACCTATGATACGTCACCGTCATATCTTCAGCACGTGTTTTACCACACTTTGCGCATTTTCTATAATTGTTCACGGACATTGTTCACAATTTACACACACAAAATTTGAATCTAACTCTCTACTTCAACTTGAAAGACAAAATGACAGTTTGTCTTTCAAATACATGACATTAGCGAAATTGTGGTTACACTCTACCACAAAGCCATTATAGTACGGGAGCTAGCAACGTTTGGAAAGTAAGAATTTTAGGACAGCTGATTTTGTGATATGTCGTCCTTCATGCACTTTCGGTTAGAATCTGGGCTATCTGGCTGGCGGTAGCGGTTGCGTTCATTAGTGCGCATCCTACCTGTCCAGGTAATAATCCTGTATTCATTGAGTTAAAACAACAACAAGTATTATATCAATGCCTGTATTTTAAAAACATTTTAGAAGGCGTAATTTTTAATTTTTTGTTTTTAAATAAGTCTACCTGACATACTTTTTTTATTGCCAGACATTTTTGACAATGCTAACTATGTGCCATACGCGATTTTTGTTATTTTTTTTTATAAAATTTCAAAGTATTTTATAATGTCTGTAATTTTAATATTATGTTATTTAAAGATAAGAAAAACTTAAAATAAATTTGCCAGACATTAATTCGATTGTTAAGTCTTGAATTAAAATTAAAAAGTCATGAAAACTATTGCAGTATGATGCACTAGCATCCGAGAGAGATAGTTGCAGAATAAGTCGAGAATGATACAGAGAACCATTACGAAAGTAAATTACTTTTCACTGTGCATATAATAAAAAAAAAAAAAAAAAAAGAATAATAATAATCATCATTCTAGTCAGAGCAAGTTTCAAAAAAAAATTAAGCATAAAAAGGAATATAAAATTAGATTAAAATTTAAAAAACAACACTTTTTATTTAAATTGTTCTGATTACTAAATGTAAATTATAAATAATTAATATTAAGTTTTGCAAGTTGTTTCAGCCTATATTGACGTCACATAAAAAAGAGGCATCTTCATAATCATCATCATGATGGTTGGCGACGACTGGATGGCGTAGTGGTTTGTGTAACGGACTGCTGTTCCAAAGGTCGCGGGTTCGATTCCCGCTCAAGTCAAACATTTTTGTGCATGAACATTTGATGTTTGATTTGGTCTGGGTGTTTCTATGTATAATATGTATGTATTTACAAAAAAAAAAAGTATATATGTATTTATATCAGTTGTCTAGTACCCATAGTACAAGCTCTGCTTAGTTTGGGACTAGATGGCATTGTGTGAATGTGGTAGAATATATTATTATATTATATTATTATTATTATATTATCATCATCGTCGCTGTCTTTGTCAGTGTCATTCATAACATCTTCTTGGGAACTTTCGTTATCTTCTAAAACTCTATCATCTGCAACAGAAAAAAAATAAACAGTGTAATTCTTCTAGTTCGTTATAAAACATTTTAGTTATTATTGATAACTATTATATTTCACACTTACTTTGAACAATAATATCTGCAACTGAGGATGGTAATTGATCTCCCAAAAACCAGACAAAATCATATTTGTCACCGTTAATGGTCCAACCGAAAGCCATTGGAGATAAAGATGTTGGATGTTTTGAGTGAGCATTTCTCCAAATTTTCGTCACGAACGACTAAGAAAAACTTAAAATAAATTTGCCAGACATTAATTGGATTGTTAAGTCGCATCATCATCAAAATACTAATCTCATGTTTACTCAACTCTTGCTCAGGCACATTATTTTCAAAAGTAGTGAGATATGAAGAAGTTGATTTTTAGTGAAAATGTGTCTTGTTACTACTAGCATCATACTGCAATACTTTTCATGACTTTTTAATTTTAATTCAAGACTTAACAATCGAATTAATGTCTGGCAAATTTATTTTAAGTTTTTCTTATCTATAAATAACATAATATTAAAATTACAGACATTATAAAATACTTTGAAATTTTATAAAAAAAAATAACAAAAATCGCGTATGGCACACAGTTAGCATTGTCAAAAATGTCTGGCAATAAAAAAAATATGTCAGGTAGACTTATTTAAAAACAAAAAATTAAAAATTACGCCTTCTAAAATGTTTTTAAAATACAGGATTATTACCTGGACAGGTAGGATGCGCACTAATGAACGCAACCGCTACCGCCAGCCAGATAGCCCAGATTCTAACCGAAAGTGCAAGAAGGACGACATATCACAAAATCAGCTGTCCTAAAATTCTTTCTCGAAAACGTTGCTAGCTCCTATGCCATTAACCAAAAGTTGAAGTTGAAGTTGAAAGACAAACTGTCAAAGGATTTTATATAATAATAATAATAATAATAATAATATCCCCCCCGGGGGATCACCTTGCCGTGGTGGGGGGGCTTACGGGTATCGGGTACTGGTTATGATCTTAACAACTCATCATTGTGTTGGGTCTCTGCTTCTGGAGTGGCCGGAGACCTGATACTAGCACCTATCCAACTAACGATCCCAAACCCATTCAATGGAGCACCTTATGGAAACTGAGAAGAAGAAGTATAATTTACGGTCGCTTCCCGGGGAGCGTCGGGGCGCATCTGGAGCCGATGCTGGGTGCCACAGCATGCGAACCATCGGTGGTGGGACGTTGAGCAGGCGGACTCTCACCAAACAATCTACTACAGCCGGTCGAGGTGAGCTGAGCAGGCGGGCTCATCGCGTAGAAGCTACAGCCGGTCGTAATGAGTTGAACTGGCGGACTCATGACGTTGAGGTCACAGCCGATTCTTCAGGCGATGATACAAAAACATTATCTTCTTCCATCCCTCAAACTTGCCTTCCATACATGACAAGAAGAACAGCAAGATTAGCAAGCACTAGCACCAATAACGCGTATGCTATGCAACGCCGATCAACCGAGCGATTACCTTCACCCTCACTTAGTACCACACAGTCAGAACATTCACTCTTCTCTAATATACCATCACCGTCTTCAACCCATAGCTTATTTCGATCACCCACCTCATCACTATCATCTACTTGTACATATTCATCCCGAACTACAAGGTCAACGGCTGCTGTGCAGGAGGCATTAGCCACTAACCCTGTACCCACTGCTGGCCCTTCTCGTACGCGAAAGAAATGGACTGAAGATATGAACCGTTTTATATGGCGTACATACCTTTTAATAACAAACTGCGAGACTTCACAAATGAACAACTATTTAGAAGCTTTGCATCGAGAATTTGACAATAGATATCCCGACATGCATGCCACTCGACAACGATTAGGAGACCAAAAAAGAGCCATAATTAGAAGAAAATTACTGCCACAACCTGTGTGTGTGTGTGTTAGATGAGATAGTTTTTGAAGTAAAAGAGCAAATAGGAGATAAAACCCTTAACCATTCACAGATACATAGTCACGACGATCACACAACACGCAATAGAGCAAATGTTTTCAACAACAGTAGAATGAAATGGACGGAAGAAATGAACGATGATGTTATAAGATGCTACCTTGAAGCAACAGAACTGGAGACAAATAAGACTGCCTACCGTAAAAAACTTTATGATTAGTTTTTAGAAAAACATCCGAATTTATCTAATTTAACTGAACAGAGAATAGCAGATCAAAGAAGACTAATATTCATTAATAAAACATACACTAAGAGAATAAATAAATTAAAGCACGAAGTACAGTTAAAGCTAACAGATCAAAATAACCAAATTTTACCTAACCTAAACGATTCTATTACTGAACAAACACACAACACACACGAAAGCCTAATAGACTGTACACTAACACTGACTGAAACAACCACAACAACTAATGCACAGAATGAAAACATCACGATTCATAACACGGATAGTAATAGTACTTTAGATAGTAATAGGATAGAAATAGAATTTAATAAAGCTCTTACACGTTTCAATATAATTGATCCAGAAGCAAGACCATATATTCCAAAACAAAAGACGTCACGAAAATTTGCTAAAATTACTCAATTTCTAAATATCAATATTTTACCGAAACACTTAAACCACGAATTAGACTTTAGTTCATTACACACCTTAATATATTCAGCAGCCTATACAGCTGCTATTTGTAACGGCACTAAATTCAGCACTGAAGATAGTATAACCACTTATAAACGGAATAGGACGCCTGCGTGGCAAAGAAGAATTGAAAGCAGAATAGAAAAATATAGATTAGAAATAGGAAGATTAACACAATACATGTCAGGAAATAGAGGTCAGAGAATACTAAAAACTGTAGAGGAAATAAAGAATAAATATAAAACTCATTCACAACACGAAGAACCTAACACAGAACCACAACATTTTCTTGACACACTAAAACAGAAATTAAACGCGACCGCAAATAGACTTAAAAGATATTTAAATTGTACTAAACGGAAACAGCAAAATGGAAACTTCATAAATAATGAAAAACAGTTTTATAGAACCCTAGGACATAATAATCAAATAACATCAAAAACTACAGAAATCCCCTCACCACAAAACCTTCATCAATTCTGGGCTGGCATTTGGGAAAACCCAGTGCAACACAACACTCATGCCGACTGGTTACAAAAAATAGCAGACACATCAAACATTAACCAAATGGAGTTTGAAAACATCCCAGTTGACACATTCATTCAGATCATCAATCGCACACATAACTGGAAGGCACCAGGCACCGACAATATACACAATTACTGGTATAAAAAATTAACCTGCACACACCCATTCGTCCACAGTCACATTTGCAAATTCATTCAATCACCGCACACTTTGCCAACATTCATAACACAAGGAATCACATACATGCTACCAAAAGGTTCAGACTCCAAAAATCCTGCAAATTACAGACCTATCACATGCTTGCAAACTATTTATAAAATTATTACAAGTTGCATTAGCGAAATTATTTACAGACACTTAAATGAATACAACGTGCTGGCAGAACAACAAAAGGGGTGTAAAAAAAATAGCCAAGGTTGTAAAGAACAATTAATCATAGACTCAATAGTAATGAGACAAGCCCAAACTAAAAATAGGAACATCCATATGATGTACGTCGATTACAAGAAAGCATTTGATTCGGTCCCCCATAGTTGGTTATTATATGTATTGGACCATTATAAAATTCACCCTTGTCTCATAACATTCTTAAGCACAGCCATGCTTCATTGGAAAACTAAATTAAAATTAATAAATAACGAGTTAACCACTGACTTGATAAAAATTAAAAGAGGCATATTTCAAGGAGATGCGCTTAGCCCGCTTTGGTTTTGTATGGCACTCAACCCCTTATCTGAACTGCTAGATAGTACAAATATAGGATTTAAATTAAGATGCAATAACTCATTCCACATACTCTCACACTTACTTTACATGGGCGATATTAAAATTTATGCAACTAATAACACTGAACTTAATAAACTAACTGACATTACACAATCATTCTCGACAGATATTCATATGCAATTCGGGGTAGACAAATGTAAAACTCACTCAATCAACCGCGGCAAGACAGAATACAATTTTTATACACTTGGTACAGGTGAACAAATAGAACCAATGGATGAACATACGACGTATAAATATTTAGGATTCCGCCAGTCTAGACAGATTCAGCAAAAACAGACAAAATTAGAGTTAACACAGAAATTCAAAGCCAGAATAAGTCAGATTTTGAGAACCCAATTAAACTCACGCAATACCATCAAAGCCATCAACACGTATGCAATACCAGTTCTTATTTATTCGTTTGGGATTTTAGCCTGGTCCCAGAGCGATCTCATTAAATTACAGCGCACAATCAACACACACATGACAACCAATAGGAAACATCACCCCAGATCGTGCACACAACGGCTTACATTACCACGGCAAGATGGAGGGAGAGGTCTCATCGACATACAGAATCTACACAACAATCTTATAGATAAGTTACGCAAATATTTTTACGCCCAAGCCGGACAATCCCATCTTCATAAATTCTTAACCGATATAGACAAAAAATTAACTCCGCTCAACTTAAACGACACAAACATTCAACCAAAATTATTGAGCAAACAGCAGAAAATAGACTTATGGGCACAAAAGTCTCTACACGGCAGACATCTCGCCGATCTCAGCCAAACACACGTCGATAGAAAAGCGTCGAACGAGTGGCTGCGACGCGGAGAACTCTTTCCAGAAACCGAGGCTTTTGTGATCGCTATTCAGGATCAGGTTATCGATACTCTTAACTATAAAAAACACATAATCCGTACCCCTAACCTTCCTACCGACTTATGTAGACGATGCCATAGCAGTTCCGAAACCATCCAACACATCACTGGTTCTTGTAAATCTATTGTACAAACTGATTATAAACACAGACATGACCAAGTTGCAGCAATAATCCATCAAAATCTAGCTCACAAATACTCATTTATTTAAAAAAAAACTGCTTATTATAAATATAAACCAAGTACAGTTCTAGAAAATAATGCATTTAAAATATATTGGGATAGGACAATAATTACCGACAAAACCATACATTATAATAGACCGGATATAACAATACTAGACAAAACTAACAAAATAGTTTTTATTATAGACATAGCAGTATGTAACACACACAATCTCCTCACGATGCACTCAGAAAAGATGACTAAATACACAGACTTAGCAACGGAAATAAAAAGGCAATGGCAGGTAGATAGAGTTAAAATAGTACCCATTGTCATATCTACAACTGGTGTAGTACCGAAGACTCTACAAGATAGCCTCAACACATTGGAAATGCCGAAATCCTCTCTCATACTCTTACAAAAAGCAGTCCTTCTTAACACATGCCGTCTCACACGCAAATTTCTCGCTTCATCCTCATCATCTTAACTTCATATCATCATCCCTTTTTGGCACACTTGGCTAAGGCCCGTGTGTTAGATTTTGTTACCCCTTTAAAATAAAAGGGAGACCAGACAAGGTATAAAATGACATAATAATAATATTCTACCAGATTCACACAACGCCATCTAGTCCCAAACTAAGCAGAGCTTGTACTATGGGTACTAGACAACTGATATAAATACATATATACTTTTTTTTTTGTAAATACATAATTATTATACATAGAAACACCCAGACCAAATCAAACATTAAATGTTCATACACACAAGTGCTTGACTTGAGCGGGAATCGAACCCGCGACCTTTGGAATAGCAGTCCGTTACACAAACCACTACGCCATCCGGTCGTCGTATATAGAGCTGTGGTAGAGCCAAAAAAAATTTTGAGAATGAAAGAATAACAATGAATAAATTGTTATCTTTTACAGGCATGATAAAACTTAAACTAGTAAAATATATATACAGCTAATAATATATATACATATACAAAATACGAAATAACCAGTAAAACAAAAACAAATATTACACTGTGATATTGAAACTATAATTTAATTTTGTTTAAAGTTATACACTTACCTAGAATGTATACAAGAGGACTTAAAACGCGAGATAAGAGTAATTTAACGGACGTGGGATGAGGAATATGAGGAGGAATGAATTCATAAATAGGAAACTTAGTTCTAGGACAATTAAAAAAGATATGGTTCGCGTTTCCCTCATCAAGCCCACAATCACAAATAGAGCTATCCCTAATTCTAAGTTTTGCCAAAAATACTGGAGTGCATGAGTGATTTAGTCTTAACCGACAAATTATAGAAGTGGTGTTTTTATTTAATTTTTTAAATTTAGCAAACCAGGCCTTAAGTGGAATTTCTGGTTGTATATCGCCGTAAAATTGGCCTCACACAGTTTTCGACACGCACCACAGCCTGGACCACGAATCAAACAGCTGAGATTTAAGGGATGAACAAATATCGTAAGAGTATATTTCTGTATGGTCATGAGAGCCTGTATAAACAGCATTTTTTGCACATGAATCTGCAGTCTCATTTCCTGGAATTCCTGCGTGTCCAGGAATCCAGGCTAAGACAATGTTTATGTTCAGTTTTTGACATTGAAATAAAAGATGTCTAATTTTAAGGATAATATGACTATTGGATTTTGATCGGAATGGGTTTGATAGAATAGATTGAAGGCAGCTTTTGGAAGCCGAAAAAATTATACTATTGTTTAAATTATGGGATTTTATAAAGGAAATAGCTTCTAAGACTGCTATAGACTCACCAGTGAAGACAGAACAAGTAGCGGGACATTTATAATTTAGAATTATGCTAGTAGAAGGAATCCAGACAGCAGCACCAACTGGGCCATTTGATGAGATTTTGGAAGCGTCTGTAAAAATTAGACGCCAATTATTATAAATGAAGGTAATTTTATTAGTGAATAGACTTTTCGCTTCTATTGAGCACTTGTTGATTCCCAAGTCCAGAATGACATTAGATTGGAATACTAACGCTTCGTATGGCGTACAAAAAAGAGGTAAGGTGGAGTTTTGGAATAAAGGATTGATGAGACGGGTGAATTGCTGGTAAGCAAGAAGAAGGCAGGGGTAGTTTTATTAGAACGTGGATCAAGATTATTCAATAAGTTAGATAGCTGATCTAGTTCGGGAAGGAGCGGATGGTCAGCATTTTGGATAAGTTTAAAAAGAATCTGTATGCAAGAAATTGTCTACGAAGAAACAGAGGAGGATCACCACATTCAACCTGCATAGCGTTAATAGGGAAGGATTTCATCGCTCCGAGAATAATGCGGAGACATTTAGACTGAATTTTGTCGAGTTTTTGGAGACCAGATTTATTTATGAGCTCTAAAACAAATAAGCCGTAATCCAGGTGACTGCGGACTATAGAGTTGTATAGAAGTTTTTGGGAAAAAGGGTGGGAACCCCACCAAACTCCAGAAAGGGAGCGAAGAACATTAATGTTTTTTTCACACTTCTTTACAACATAATCAGTATGAGACACACCTGTCAGTCTGGAATCCAACCACACCCCAAGGAATTTAACTTTATCATACTGCGGGATGACTTCACCAAGGACTGAGATGCCAACTTGGGGAATCATTCGCTTTTTGGTAAAAATTACGACCGAACTCTTTGAGGCCGATAAAGAAAGACCATGGCGATATAACCACGACGATAATAAACTGAGCGCACTTGACAAATTATCAATAATTGCCTCAATAGATATATTAGGAAAATACAAAACTAGATCGTCAGCGTATTAGAGAATTTGAGCATATGGACCTATCGACAACTCTAAGTCATATGTATAAAGGCTGTACAAAAGAGGACTAAGCACCGAGCCTTGAGGTAAGCCCTTCCATATCATCCTGGGTGATAGCGAGTAGTCCCCACTTTTGATTGTGATGGATCTTTCCGAAAATAAGCTACGAATAAAACAGACCAATTTTTCGGGAATTCTAAGTTGGTAAATCAGTTTATTTTTGAGGATTGGAATCAGGACGTTGTCATACGCTGACGTTCATATCAAGAAAAACTCCACCTAAGTATTCCTTATTAAGAAAAGAGATTCGGTTTTCAGTCGTTAATAAGCTGAGACTATCCATTGTGCTTCTACCCTTTCTAAACCCATATTGGGATTTCCCTAACAATTTTCTATTTTCTACGAACCATTCAAGGCGATGTTTTATCATATGCTCTGTGACCTTACATAAAACAGAAGACAACGCTATAGGTCTGTAACTATCTGGGTCTTGTGGACACCTACCGGGTTTGAGAATCGGGATAACAATTTGATTTCGCCAAGGCTGGGGAACAGAATCGTGCTCATAAAAACTGTTTACTAAATTTAGAAAATATTCTTTACTTTTATCAGAAGCATGTTTTTAAAAAGAATAAGGGATTCCATCCATTCCAGGAGAGGAATCCCTTAAACCGTCCAGTGCCAGTTGAAGCTCAGGAAATGGAAAAACGTGGTCAAAACTATTTAGAGGTGATATACGGGTTGACAACGAAGGAAAGCAATCTAAGTTTGGGACGGAAGGAGGAGCCAGCTTATCAGGAAAAGCTTCAAGCCAGGATGAGGGATCATTGGCCGACATATCAGTGGAATTACAAGATCCTCTAAACCGTTTAATCTGCTTCCAAACCAAAGTAGAAGGAGTCCTTGGTGAAAGATTCTCACAAAATCGAACCCAACCTTCTTCCTTTTTTTTTGTAAAAATTCTTCTCGCATGTGCAGCCTTTCTTTGGTAGTTCACAAAATTTGGAATCGTCATGTTACGGTTATACGAGTTTTCTGCGCTTTTTCTTTTACTGACAGCCGCAGAGCACTCAGAATCCCACCAAGGAGTTGATACCTTGGAATTGAAAGGCTTTTTAAGAGGAAAATTTTGGTCAGCACTTGAGATAATGGCATTAACAAAATAAGAGTAACAATGTATGTGATTGTTAGAAACAGGAAAAGGAAGATCAGCTAAATTATTTTCAAGGCAAGATGTAAATAAAAGCCAATTGGCTTCTACTGTTCTATATTTGAAGGTTGGGTTAAAACTATGCACGGGAGATACCCTGTTAGAAATCGACATGAGAATGGGGAAATGATCACTGCCATAAGAGTGGGACAGTATATTCCAGGAAATGGCAGCGGCCAAAGATGCCGAACATATTGTAAGATCGACAGCCGATTTAGGGTTTTGAGAGGGTAAGACTCTTCTAGTAGGAGAGCTATCATTAATAATACAAAGATTTGATTCATCCAAAATTTCTAAGAGAGAGAGACCAAAGGCATCATCATGGCTAGAGCCCCAACATGAGTGCTGAGCGTTGAAGACACCCAATAAAATAATTGGAGAAGGAACCGAAGAGATAATTAATAAAATATCAGGAATTAAACTAGAGTAAGGGTGAGGAATGTAGGCATAGAGAAAAGTAACGTTAAGAGCCCTTACAGCTATAATATTAATGTTCGGGGATATAGGGGGGAAAGGGATTTGCTTAAACAAAAGGCAACGCTTAATAAATAAGGCGCTGCCTGCATATCCATCGTCTCTGTCACTCCGAAGGCACGAGTAACCCGGAACCCGAAATCGGGAACCAGGCACCAGCCATGTCTCCGAAATGGCGATAACTGATGGATTAAAAGAATTAATTAAAATTAATTAAAAGTCCTAAGAAACATGAGAACCTCATGTTTCTTAGGACGAAGACTCTTCGCATTCCATTGAAGAACTACTGCCATAATTAGAAGCAAGGGAAAGGATATGAGTGAGTTTCTGGGCAACGTTGGGCGGTAAAGAAGATTTTTTATTTAATAATAAATTGACAATCACAGATAGCAACAACTCTAATAGACCTTCATCTTGGGTAGACGAAGCTTCTGTTTGAGAACATTGAAGAGAGTATCCGTTTGGAAAAGATGACGATTCTTCAGAAATGAGGGCTTGATGAGCCGCCTTGTCGAATGATTTTCCTAAAGGAGCCTTAGGACGCGGGGAAGAAATAACAGTTTTTTTATATGA